ACTTTTTGAAAAAATTCAAAGTGAACATTTAGTAGCAAATTAAATTTAATTTGCAAATAAAATGTATTCTGTGAAATGAAAGAAATTAGGATAAAATTACGTAAAAAATTGGGTATTTTTATTTTTATTTTTGCAATAAATTTGAGAAAATAAAAAAAAAGCTTGTAAAAAATTATTGCCATATTTAATTATCCAAGAAGATTTTCGTTTTATGAAAGCAATCAAATTAGTGGATCTATGTAGCAAGAATATTTATAATGGTACTGATAAAGATATCTTGACATAATATTATTAGTATAAAACAGTTTTCAAATATATCAGTGAGAAATTTAAAATAGGTGCATTATTTAAATGTTTGTAAAAATTGTGGAGAAACTTGATACCAACTATAGTTTTAATAATTTTTATTAATTAATACACGAAAACATGCATGAAAAATATGATGCAAATTAAAAAATTCGCTTTTTAGGCACTTGATTTTTTTAAGTTGACTAAACTGTATTCCAATTCTTATAAAGAACCTGAAATAGTTATTGTCGTTATTGAAATAACTCAGGAATAAGTTTAAATTTGAACTGAAAAAGTATATTATTAATTTTTGTTTTTATAATAAAGTTTCAGAATAAAGCAATAAAAATGTTTTATTCCAAAATTTTTTAGCAAAAGTAATTATTTTTTATGCTTTCAATTTTATTGTGTTACATTTTATAAAAATATCATTGGATCAAATTATTTTATATCTTTTGTAAGAAATACTTTTGTAAAAATCTAATATTTACTTTTTTTAAAGTAAATAGTAGACATGAAAGTAAATTTTTAATTACTTGGATTTAGAAAATACAAAAGTTAACAGACTTTTAAAACAAATATTTATTATTTTGGAGGCGAACTTTGCAACCGAATAGTTTTCACTTTAAAGCTCGGATTCCATCCTTTCATTACAATCTAAAAAATATTTTCAAATTTTTTTCAAGATCTTAAATTTTTTGGATTTAACCTGCCTCAATTATACTGCATAAAAACTGATACTCATTACAACTTAAGAAATTTGCATAAATATGTAGTTGTTACTTAGTCAGTACATACCAGTTTAAATGTCAAAGGTTATGAAAAAGTTTTTACTTTTTGGGTGCCAGTTGCATCAATCATAGGTGAAATTCCATGTTTTGGTAAATATCCAGAATGGTATAGGTGTTGTGGTTGTACACACCACAGTCTTCTAATATTTTCTTTACGTGTAGTTTTTTCTGCCGAGTGAAATTCTCTGGATAAATCCTCAGTTGATCCAATCCTGTGTTCAACATTTTCATTACTGCTTCCATATGCTGAAAATAGCATTTTTAATTTCATTTTAAATTTTTAGTTTTTATCAATAATAAATTAATGAAATGTAAAATTTTTTATTAATTATGATAAGTTATTAACAAATTATTATTGATTTCAGTTATCCTTTTTTTTCACGATGATCGAAAATTACAATTTTATACTAAACAATTCTTCAAATACAAATTATTTTATTAGTAAGAAAGAAAGTTAGATATATTTATTTCATTTATATACTTATCTTTAATTATATATTTTTTTATTATCAATTTAAAAAAGAACTTTTTGATTTTATTATTTCAACTTAACGATATGAATAATATTCATACAGAATAAAAAAAAATAAGAAATAAAAATAAGAATTATTTTAAAAAAAAAAACTTTTCACATTTAAATTAGTTACTAAGGCTAAATGATAACAATTTAAAAAGAATTGATGTGAAATATTATAATAAGTTATGAATTTGTTTAACTTTAAAGTATTGAAAAAAGCGTTCGTACGTACGCGAATAATGTTTTCGACGTGTTGCTGACATTTGTCGAATTTTGTCACGTTGCTCGGCCGTAAGTTGATGTTCTAACATATCAGTCGGCTCCGTGTGTCTATTTGTTCTCCTTTTTTGCGCTTTTTTTCCACCTAATTAATTTGATCTAATTCAAGCGTTAGATTTTAACTAACAAATTTTTTGAATTTCAAATTAGATTATGCTAAGACTGAATCGATCTGTTTACTGATCTATGTAGTCTATAAGTAGAAGAATATAAAACATAAATTTTGCGTGATTCCACTTACTTCTTTTAGCATTTGTTTTAATAATACGTTTCTGCTTAGAAAGGCTTCTGCTAGAGTTATCAGAATCTGAATCTTCAATAGCTGGCATTTGTTTTTTTTGTGTTTTAACTTTTTGTTCGTGTTTTCTTTTTAATTTTTCCTAAAACTATTCACAATCATAAAATTTTTAACAGTCAGACATTTTACAGTCTAAATTATTTATTTTGCAAATCAACGTAAGTTCGAAATTTCCATCATCAAATATGTTTTATAATTTTAAAAAATAAAACTTGTGCAAATTTTTTTTTAAAGTGTACGCTTACGTAAGCAACCGCTTACGCAAGCGTACACTTTAAAATCCGTGATTATTTTTTAATAATTAAATTTGGCAAAAAGACTAGTAATATTTTTGTCAAATGAAACCAAAATATGCACATCCTGAGTCGAAGAACTATCATTTTCATCATTTTCTTCGTTATTTTCTTCAAAACTAAAAATGCTCTGATTTAATCACGTTGAGTACAAATACTTCAAGACTTTTTCTCATCATAAATATATATTTATTTTTTAAAAGTTATGGCGGAAACCGAATTATCTCATCGATATCTTTTACCTTCAAACGTGAAACTAAAGTGCTATAAGATTTTTTTATTAATTATCCTTATCGTGCTTAAGTTATTTTCATAATTTATCACTGCAAAGTTATTATGATGCGTGGGAGATAATTAATGGCGTAGCAGACGTTTCTAAATTATCCGTTTAGAAATGTTCTTTTCACTCTTTTAACTTCATAAGTAATTATTTAGAAACTGTTTAAATAGAAACTTATGCAAATTTATGCAACAATAATTTTACTTAATATTTTCATACAAGTACTTAAAATTCGATCAAATTTATAAATAAATGTTTAAAAAAAATTAAACCTTTTATTTTGGCTAGATATAATCCATTTAGGTACTTTTTTTTTTGCATGCTTAGATTTATTATGTTTATTATGTTTTTGCTGTTGACTTGAGCCTCCACGTTCATAAATATGTGCGTGTTGCAAATTTCTACGCTCTTCTTCACATAAATTACGTGACTTTTGAATTTGATCAATTTTCTCATTACGTGGAGTTGATTCTTCTTGAAATACCTTATCAGAAATGTATAATTTTTCTTGATCTTCTGACCGATATCTTTTATCTTGAGAACGTGTACTTTCCATTTCTGGTTGTTGTTGTTTTTGATGATGTGATTTTCGATCAGTTATAATCTTTATTTTAGGTTGTTTTTTGCTTGATTTTAATTGCTGATAATAATGATTGAATCCAAACGATTGTTTTTGAGATAAGTTATCAATAGGAGGAGAATCATACTCTCGCATAAGTATAACTGCTTTCTTGTCTAGTGATTCAAAAATACGATCTGTATATCGTAGACTTCGTGCTTCATTGTCCACTGGAAAGCAGAGCAGATTTTTAATTTGCTCAGATTCATCTCGTGATCTGTATTCACCTAGACAATTCAGCTTCCCTGGTTCATTTTCAGATGACTGTAATTTCATTTTATTTTTAAAGTAATGTTACAATAATAGTGTTATCAAATTAAGTAAGAAAATTAATATTATTGTATTATATCATTGTTTAATTTGAATATTCTATCTATTCAGTTTATTATTATAGCAAAGATTTTTTTTAGTACGAGTGAAACTAATATTTTTTGAAGGAAAATATGAAACCTTTGGTGTAAATTGACAGTTACCAATACTTTTAGTGTAAATAAAATTGACTAAATTTTAAAAATTATTAATAAATAATTATTTATTAAAAATTCACACTTAAAGATCGTTTATTTTTAATTATCATTTTATTAATATTACTTAAATATAATTTATTAATTGCTTACGAAAAATTTTTCGAAATTTTTTGAAGTTTGCTTAGCAACGGAAGAAGATCCATCTGATGTTACAGTTGATTCTTTTAACTTTACTAAAAACATACTAAAGTGAAATTAGAACGCAATTAAATACAAAACTTATCATTTTTTTGCAAATAAAATGTCTATTTTAGGAAAATTTGCATGCAATTTAAATATTTGAATAGTTTTATTTATACAAAATATTAATAAAAATATTAGTTTCAAATGTTAAAATTTTAATAAAATTTACTGACTTTAATTTTCTTAATTGTAGATAATTGGATAATATTGCTTAATTTTATCGCTTGATAACGTCAAGTAAAAAATGATAATCGCAGTGCAAAGGTCAATTTTTCTTTTTCAAAAAAAAATACCAATTTTTTTGCCAACATTTATTACTGTATCATCCTGTCGAGTTCCCATTTGCAGTATTAATTGTTCAATTTCTTGTAAAGAATTTCCAATAAGATTGCTTACATACTGATAAACTTCTGATGCACAATGCGGTATTGGCAAATCGGTCATCTGTAATCAAAATTTAAAATAATATTTGAAATTGATGTCTTTAATTAATCTTTAACTAATTTAAATCAAATAATATGTTAAAAATTTAATATAATGTTTTAAATTTTTCATTCACCTTTCCAAAAATGAACTACATTTTTACTTTTATGTAAAATTTATAGCACTAAAAATAATATTAGTAATGACAGCAATAATAATATTTATATTATAGCAATAATAGTGATTATATCTTAATATAATCATGATAAAAGTTATATTATGCTGCAATTTTTTTCCAAAACTTCAAAAAAATAATTCATTTTTAACGACAAATAGCTCTGAAGTTGAATGACAAAAAATTTGAACCTCTTTACAATTCAAAAAAATATTGATATTTATATTATAGCAATAATAGTACTATTATTATTTTTTGAATATTTTTGTTTTTTGTTTTTTTTATTGAGGCACCTACAAGTGCTAGAATTTTTTATAATAAGTGTGTAAAAAAGTTCAAAGGTTAAAATAAGTTAATAAGTTATAAAGTGATTAGCTACTTTTTGAAAAATAATCCTAAGCATTCTTAGTACTGAAAAAATAATTGCGCAAAAAACAAGCAAATAATTATTACAACTTAATGCTAGAAAAGTAATATACAAAATTTTTGGATATTAATTTACAATAATTTGTTGTTAACAATTGCCAGCAAATTTTGTTCAGTCCACACGCAATGAAAACAGGTAGGTAAATAAAGCTTTTAATTTATTTCAATTTTTTAAATAATAATTTATTGATTGAAAACGTTTTGATCTCAAATTTGCATAAATATTTGATTTCCATTTGTGATTATCAATTCCACTGATAAGATTTTTGCCATTTCTACAACTGTACCATTTGTTAGTGGTTAGCTGTAAATAAGAATGTGTAAGAGATTTCGATAAATTGATATTTTAATTAAGTTAATCATTATTTTAACAAGATAATTATTAATATAAGTGCGAGCTTACCAGTGCTCAGCATTAGCAATTTTTTTAGTAAGCTTAAGATTATTAAAGTGATTTGAGATATATCACAATAAACTGAAAATCTCGACAATAAAATGTTAAACTGATTAACAATAATAAAGTTAGAAAATTGAATTTGAAAAAATTTGAGAATAAAAATAATTATATTTTTATCATCATTATTTTTTATATTATCGTAGTATTATGTATAGCCACAAAATTATATTTGTAATAGTGTGTTATTGAGTTGAAAAGCATAATAAAAATTTGTAATTTTTATTTTAGTGATCAAGGTTGCTTTATGCT